TGGTGCAGAGGCCCGAAGTATCCCTTTTGGTAGGAAAATTGCCGAATAGACTTGACGTTTCATATGAGGACCGCGATGTCCTCATATGACGACAGCTCTTCTTTTTGCATAAATGTATAAAGTAAATTGAATATTTAGAAATATATCTTGAACACTATTTCTTTAACATACTTGTTTTCGGCAATAATATCTTGCAGAACACTGGGATATTTAGATGCTTTGAACACGCCGAAAGATTAGCAATCTAATGCAGATTGAGTAGCTAGCCCCTTTTTAGACTGAAGTTTGTGGTTTCCAAGTTATTTTACATGCAGTTTCAAGGTAGTTTAAAAGAGCTTCTTTTCCACACATATCTAAAAACGACCAGGAAGAACATGCAATTCTCACAAACTTCTTTCAGGTCCCATGGCATAAGTTGAGTACTGTGGCGGGGGTATCGTTTTCTTTCTTGCCGAGAAAGTGTAAGACAAGAAAAAAAGGTCGGAAACTGTCCTCATATGAGAAGAATTGCAACGGGTACGCATTGCTGTACAGTGTATGGATACAGTGTATGATAGAAGGCGCACTCGCCCGGACTGGCACGGACGGGGCGACCTGACATAAGCGCGGCTGTGCTAGCCTGCGCGTCTTTGTCGTGCAGCTAGGAAGTGGGGTAAGGCCGGTAGGGCCGTTGTAGAGCGATGCTGTGCGGTAGCATGCCTCTCTTTACTATGTGTCGTAAGAGAAGGAGACTATATACTAATCTATCGTAAAGGGTTCAGAACACGAGTGGATGCAACGAGTGCTGGAGAGCGATATATGCCATGAAAGAGGTGCAAAATGCAAATGTAGCTGAAGGTGCAGCTGTGCATGACACGATAGAGATGGAAGCTCGAATGCTCCCGGAGCTCCCGGAGCGACGGGATGATTCCGGAGTTGCCATATTTGGCTCCACGCCATATTTGGCTACAGCGGCCTATCATACAGAGCGCCAGGAGGCGAGTTACAAAGAGCGCTGCGGGCTAGGGTAGAGCTCGCGGAGAACGCTCGCGGAGAACGCTCGCCGTCGAAGCGCGAAGGTGGCCGGAGGACCCCAGTGGGGACGGTAGGTGGCCACGGGCGACTCCCACCAATATCTGGGGGCTGCGCCTGGGCACCCCTCGGAGTTTTAATGATTATATTAGAATGTCAGTTAAGCGCCGGGGCGACCCCTTTTAAGGGGCGCCCCGGCGCCTCTCAGTAAGTGGGGGGCACAGACTCCCGAGTAAGATTTACCCGTCAGGTGTTGCAAGAATGGTCTGATGGACACTAGATATTTAGTTGGAGGGGCAGGCTGAGTGCAGTATGTAGGCGGGGAGTTGAGGGTTACAGCAAGTATCTGATGCTAAGATAGTGCTGGGTTGGGCCCTGGCCTCTACAAAGCGAGGGGAGGGAGTTCAGCTTAAGTACACTGGTAAAGGTTGATGCACGAACAAAGGATAGGGATGTGGATGTATACTAGGTTATTTGCTGAGAAGGCACGGCAATACCTTGAAGAGCAGTGCATTCGACTTGTCAATCTGACACGCAAGAGCAAGTCAGAAGGATGGCTTAGAATGCTTCTGCCATGCAATTATCGCATTATCATCTACAGTAAATTGATCAGGAGATCAAGCTTCATCAACTCGTGATTGATACTACCCTTCAAGGTAGAAGGGTAGCTACTTTTCTCGGCAACACTCAAAAACTCCCCTCTTGATACTACCCTTCAAGGTAGAAGGGTAGCTACTTTTCTCGGCAACACTCAAAAACTCCCCTCTTATCCTCCTACCTTGAAGGTATCCTTCCATTCCCTCCTACCCTTCCATTCCCATCCCTCTCTTATCCTTCTCCGAACCCTCCATTCCCATCCTTCTTCTATCCCTCTCGACTACACTTGAAAATCGACGCATCCACCATACCCCCCCTGCCTAGCCCCTGCTCTTGTTGCCCGACACGTCGTAAACGGGCGCCCAACGTGCCGCCGGGCGCCGCTCCGCGCGCGCGCCCTCGAGACGGCTTGCGCTCCGCACCGCCGCCGCTGCCCTGCCGCCGCCGCTGCCCTGCCGCCGCCGCCCTGCCACTGCCACGCGGCGCATCTGCGGCTGCGCCGGGGGAAGTCCTCTCTCGCCCGCCCCGCGCGCGCGGCGCCGCCCGGGTAAGCAACGGCGCGCTTGCGTGCGGCGTATGACGGGTGCGCGAAGTGACGAGATGTTGCCCGGTGGCTGACAGACGTGCCGGTCTCGATTTTTTTATAGATGGCTGCCATTTGCCCGTCGCCGTATTTGTACCTTCGCTCCGCCGTGCCGCCGCGCTGGCCGCGTGCCAGCTCATCGGCTTTATCGCTCGCGCGGTGAAAACCGGCGCCCGCTCCCACGCACCCGCCTTCATATGCGCACATCTGTGCGCGGCCGCGTTACATGCCCTCGCCCGCTCCCTCGCCCGACAAGCGTCCAGGGGCACGCCGTGTGGCCCAGCGCCCCGCCGCTTGCGCGCAGCTGTTTCCGCCCGCCGGTATGACGGAGGAAACGCGCTTTTTAACAACCCCCGCCGCGCAGCAGACGACAGACGGACAAACCCACCGCCGCCTCGCCGCGCATACGTTGCAGCCTTGCATCAATCTGCGCCCTCGCCTCGTTGCTTACCGTTCCCACCCCCAGCCGTTACTAAATAAACACGGCGGTACATATCCTTGTCTAACAGTTCATGATAAAATGCGGCAAGCGACCGTTTTTTTCTAGGCATGTCTGGTGAAAAGGACGTATCTTACCAAGTCCTTCACCGGTTTTGACTTTTTACAGCTCAATGAACACATAAAGCGCGCATATAGCTTTACAACGGTATCAAAAACCTTACATGGATACCATCGCGCGACGCGCCGCCTCCATTCGCCCCGTCGTCACAACCTGCCCCGCCCCCGCGAGCACTGCCCGCTGCCTGTCGCGCCCGCCGCACGTGCCGTCCCGCTTCCACCGCGAAACCAACACCCTTGCCCCCCCGCTATATTCCGCCCAAAACGATAGGTTCCGTACCCGCACCTCCCCCTGCGCCGCGCTGCCGCTGCCGCAGCAGCACTCCGAGCCGCCCTCTCGAGAGGCCCCCATTTGGATACACTTCTGTATCAAAAACGCGCCCTGGTCGAGTCAGCATGCCCCCGCCTTGCGCCGCGCCGCATCTTGCGTATCTACTCGCGCCGCGCCGCTATAAACCACGCCACGCCCGCCCAACCCCGCCGTCTGGCCCCGTTCTACGCCCCGGAACCGCCGTTTCGGCGCTCCCAGCCTCCGTCGTGTGATACTGTGACACAGTACCTTGTGGGAAGTGTCAGCTGTCCCTCTCTTGCATTTGACATTATTTGATGCACCATGATGGTGCATGCATTCTAGAAGAGAGGAACTGTCTAGCGATTCCTGTAGTTTTCCGGTAGTCAAATCCCTACATAAAGCCTCAAAGACCTGAGGTTCAAAAGAATAAAGAGGCATCGATCCCAAGACCTCCACGAGTTGTGGAGTGCTGGCAATAGTCGCCGCCGGCAGGGGTAAGCTGCCGCGTGTGCGCCCCCGTCCCGTCCGCGTCGTGCTGACACGCCAGGCAGCAATGCGGCACCTCCGCGCGGCCGCGCCGGCGATACGCACCACAACCGCACCACCGGCTTGAGATCCCCGGGCATGCGGCCGCGCATGCCATCCGATCTGCCGAACCTCGAGAACATGTTACAGGCCGCTGCCGCATTCAATGGTGGGCGGGCGCGCGGTGTGATCGGCGCAGATATTATGCGCCGGCACACGCCGGCGGCCAGCTTGCAATCTTGATTCACAATCTCCCCGCCCGCCAGGTGTCGCACGCCTGTGTAGCGCACGCGGCGCACTTGCGCGCCCGTGCGTGCGCCGCTTATGATCCGCCAGGGTTTGGATGCAGGGTTTGGAAGCAGGGTTTGGAAGCAGTGTTGCCAACCCGCCGGCGTTGGCGCCGCCGTTCCCGGTGGACCGCCTATCCGCGGTTTCCAACGCCGCCTCCCGTCCGGGCCGTGTACCATTCCCGGCACGTCGCCAGGAGCAGCGCTTTCTCGGCACTCGCGCCTCTGCTTCCTCCAGACGATTCACAACCCGCGTCGACAGCCGGTGGTCGCCTCTGTAAATAGAAGGCCGCGGTAAGGCCGGCCCGTGCTTACAACACCCCGAGTCGCCAGGTGCGTTTTGATTTGCTTCGAAAATGGCGTCATGCCGAGTGTATGAGACTTCAGCAGCCCGGCAATCAAAACTCCCCGCACCCGGGTGGCACGAGACGGCCGTCCCGTGCCAAGTTGCCGCTTGTTTGATCCCCAGAAACAAGCGTCCCTCCTTCCCGAACATATCTCACTTCCCACCCCCCCACCCCCCGACGCCTTTTGGACGCCGTGCTTCCGGGCGACCATCTTCAACGTTTATCTTGACGAACAAACATATCCCTCCCCATCCACGGAAAAGTGACCGCTTCTACTTTGAATGGTTTGAGAGCCCGCATAACCGCTTTTTCCGCGTATCTTCTTGCCATACGGCACCATGCTCCACTCTTCCCATTCCATTGCTGTCCCTTCCCTAGCCCGCCCCACCTTCTCCCCACCATCCCATCCCTCCACCCGACCCGGGTATGAGCCCCCCACGCCGCGATTACAGCACGCCATCCCACTAGGCATTCTCTTGCTTCGGCTATCGCTTCATGGAAGCACTGCCAGGCGTATCGCTCCCGCTTCTTGATATCGCGCTCTGCCGCACACTGCCCGAGTCACCGGCCAGTCCACTGTCAGTGAAGCGCCCTGTTCGCCATGTCTCTCCCTTCTCAACTTGCCTATAAAACCCGCTTCCTTACTCCCGTCCAACCGCGCTCTTCCTTCTCACCTACACCCAGCTCCCGAACTGCATGCCCACCATGAGGTTCGCTACTCTCACGCTTCTCCCGCTCCTCCTCTCGGTGGCCGCAGCCGCGTCAGGATCGTTGCCCGACTGCGCAAAATGCACCAACGACTATGAATGCAAATCACCCAAGTGCTGGGGCGGCAAATGCTCGGACGGAAAGCTGTCCAGCCTGCTCAAATGCGGCTTCGCCGCTGAGTGCAAGCCCTGCAAGACCTCGTTCAACTGCGCCACCAAACTTTGCCTTTCCGGAAAGTGCGTCTTCTCTTCGGCGGGCCTGGCCAAGTGCGCCAAGAAGCCCGAGTGTGCCAAGTGTGCCGAGAACGACGACTGCCGGACTGGCAAGTGCTCCGGCGTGCCCAAGCGCTGCAACTTTGGCACGAAGGAGTCCCGTATCAAGTGCTTCCGGAGGGAGTGCGGGCGCTGCGACGTCGACGAGGAATGTGGCTCCAACCTTTGCGAGAAGGGCAAGTGCGTCTTTGACAACGCCGAGTCCCGCCTCAAGTGCTTCAAGCTTGAGGAATGCGATCTCTGCAGATTTGGCGAGCAGTGCAAGACGGGCAAGTGCACCGGCATCCCGAAGAGGTGCAACGACGGGTCTAGGCGCTCTCTTCGCAAGTGCTTCTTGGGAGAGTGTGAGAGCTGCAGGAATGACCTGCAGTGCGGCTCCGGCACTTGCCGTGAAGGCAAGTGTGTCAACGGTTCCGTAGAAAATTCCCCGCAGTGCTTCCCGAAGGGCGAGTGCGCCAGCTGCAAGGGCAATGTGCAGTGCCGCTCCAAGCTGTGCGTGAATGGAAAGTGCATCTTCAACACCAAAGAATCTCGTGAGAAGTGCTTTGGTAAACCTGAGTGCGCTCTTTGTTCCAAAGATAAGGAGTGCAAGTCTGGGACGTGTTCCGGCATTCCGAAGAAGTGCAACAACGGGTCCCCGGCCTCGCTGCGAAGGTGCTTCAAGAGAGAGTGCGAGGCTTGCAAGTACGATCAAGAGTGCGCGTCTGGAACTTGCCTGAGAGCAAAGTGCGTCAAGGGTTCTGTCGCTAATTCTCCGCAATGCTTCCCGAAGCCAGAGTGCGCCACGTGCTCCGCCAGCAATCAGTGCCTCACCAAGCTTTGCGTCAAAGACAAGTGCATCTTCGATACCAGAGAATCTCGTGAGAAGTGCTTTGGTAAGCCTGAGTGCGCCCTGTGTTCCGGTAGCGGTCAGTGTGCCTCCAAGCTGTGCGTGAGAGGAAAATGCATCTTCGATACCAAGGCATCCCGCGTGAAGTGCTTCGGGAAACCCGAGTGCTCACCCTGCTCCGGTAGTGGCCAGTGCGCGTCCAAGCTGTGCGTGAAAGGAAAGTGCATCTTCGATACCAACGCATCCCGCGTGAAGTGCTTCGGGAAACCCGAGTGCTCACCCTGCTCTGCTGATGGCCAGTGCGCCTCCAAGCGCTGCGAGAAAGGAAAGTGCATCTTCAACACTAGCGCCTCGCGGGTGAAGTGCTTTGGCAAACGTGAATGTGCCACATGCAAAGCCAGTAGCGAGTGCGCCTCCAAGCTTTGCGTGAAAGGAAAGTGCATCTTCAACACGAAAGAATCTCGCGTGAAGTGCTTTGGTAAGCCTGAGTGCGCCGAGTGTTCCGGTAGTGGCCAGTGCGCCTCCAAGCTTTGCGTAAGAGGAAAGTGCATCTTCGATACCAAGGCATCCCGCGTGAAGTGCTTCGGGAAACCCGAGTGCTCACCCTGCTCCGGTAGTGGCCAGTGCGCGTCCAAGCTGTGCGTGAAAGGAAAGTGCATCTTCGATACCAACGCATCCCGCGTGAAGTGCTTCGGGAAACCCGAGTGCTCACCCTGCTCTGCTGATGGCCAGTGCGCCTCCAAGCGCTGCGAGAAAGGAAAGTGCATCTTCAACACTAACGCCTCGCGCGTGAAGTGCTTCGGTAAGCCAGAGTGCGCTAAGTGTGCTAAAGATAAGGAGTGCGCTTCTCGAAGGTGCCGCGGCACATCAGCGCTTGGTATGAAGTGCGTCTTCAATACCGGGGAGTCATTTGCGAAATGCTTCCCGCCTATCGGAAAGGTAGAGTGTGCACCTTGCAAGAAGGATTCTGACTGTCAGTCGGGCAAGTGCTTTGGAACCGAAGCGCTCGGATACAAGTGTGTGCTCAATACGCAGGCTTCGATTGAGAAGTGCTTCCCGAAGAAGCCTGAGTGCGCCACCTGCAAGAGGTCTTCTGAATGCTCTACAGGGAAGTGCTGGGGAACCGAAGCGCTCGGATATAAGTGTGTCTTCAATACAACAGCTTCAATTGAGAAGTGCTTCCCGAAGAAGCCTGAGTGCGCCACCTGCACGAGGTCTTCTGAATGCTCTACAGGGAAGTGCTGGGGAACCAGCAAAATCGGGTACAAGTGCGTGTACGACAACCCAGAATCTATAGACAAGTGCTTCCCGAAGTATCATCTATAGACAAGTACTTTCCGAAAAGACCTGAGTGTGCAACTTGCAAGAGCAGTTCCGAATGCTCCAGCGGCAAAGGCTGGGGTACGGAAGAGAAGGGCTACAAGTGCGTGTACCTTTCTCATGACTCGATTCGCAAGTGCTTCCATTAGACATGTTTTTTAGATATTAGATACCGATGTTTAGGCGCAGAAAATTCCGAATACGATAAAGCCATCTTATGAGGCAAACACAGCTCCGCTGATGTTGTCTTTTTTACAATGACAATTGGTCACACGGAGCAATGCTCCAGAATGCAAATATCGCCTCCTAAGGAACAACAGATGCGCAGCGTCGCTATAGTACTCCATCATTTTCTCAGTGGCGCGATTGTCATTGAATCGGAGTTGCTTGGTATACGCTTAGCGACAAGCCTCGTCTCGTCCCCGAGGCTGAAATTATGCACCGGGGAAGAACTTGAAATGAACCTCAACTCCTGCGCCTCACCCTGGTTGTGAAAATGGTTGCCAAAAGTACATGAGCACACTACTGGCGCATGAACCGTATTATCCGTGGATCTCCGGTCTCCATAAATAAATAAATAACATATATATATATATATTATGTTAGAGAAACAGTATAATCCGTGGATCCCCGGTCTCTATAAATATACTGTAATTTTAAGCGAAGACTTCTCCCGAGCAGGCTCTTTTACTGTGTATTGTGTAGGCTTGAGATAACCCTCGGAGAAGCCAAGAAAGCTGGCTCAACGAAAGATAATGTACCTGTGACCAAGCACCAGTTGAGAGCCATTCCACTGCAAAACGCCTTCCCGAAGAGGGGTTTCAAGATGCTCCGAAATGCCCTTCAATTCAAATTTCCCGCTATATAATATATATAATATATCTCTGCAAAGCACTTCATTTTTTGAAATTGTTACTGTATCAAAATTTCCATAACTGCTACTTTATTATTTCTCAAATTTATTATTTCTCAAAAAGCTAAATGAAAGAGAAAATTCGGAACCCTCTCGTTATGATAACAAGGAAAAGGCTACGAATTTGGAAACGTCTTGCGAAGGAAAAAATCGTTCGGTTAAGAGCAGGGCTGCTTACCGGCTTGAAGCCGCGAGTAACTCCCACCAGTCAAACCGAACTCCTCCTGATGTCGTTCACGAGTCTATTAGTTTTAAAACCCAGCAGGTTTCTGAGAAGGATGACCGCGCGACCCTCTCATCATGGGCAATGCCTCTAGAACCAGAAACAAAGTTTGAGTGCTATCCTCGAAAAATGAATGGTATCGCTGGCCTGTACCCTGCACGGGATGCTGCCCGGGCTTGACTTTTATTTCCCGCGAAACGACCCAGTTAACCAGAAAACTTCAACCCAGTGAACCAAAACGCTGCACTATCTTCCTCGTCCACTGCTTCGTGTTGATTTCCATTTCTACCTTTTCTTCATTGCGTTGTCTACCAATCGAGGCTTCTGAAATAGAGGCCACGCTTTTGGCTCCTTTTGTTTCCTATCACGTTCTTCGTGAGCTCATTGCGTGCGCACTACCCGTACCCAGCATGGGACGCAAATGACATCTTAAAAGAGATGCCCCGCTTAATGGCTGAAGCATTTCTTAATCGACGAAATTGTTAGGTGCACACACTTATTCCTAAAGCATGCCTTGGTGGAGCAGTCTGACCCGCTCGAGCAATGGCCACACTCTGGGCTCCCAGGGAAGCACTTGCCCATCGATGTCGGGGTCTCAAAGACGCACTTGTACCCGATTAGCCTGGTGCCCCAGCACTTGTTTGTAGAACATTCTGACGAGCTCCTGCAAGATTCGCATTCGGCCTTCCCGGAATGTGGAAAGCATTTGTCCATCGACAACTGGGTGTCATAAACGCACTTGAGTCCTGCTGAATCTGTGCCCCAGCACTTGCCAGTTGAGCATTCGGAACTGCTCCTGCATGATGCACACTCGGGCTTCTTCGGGAAGCACTTCTCCATAGACTCCGAGTTATCGTACACGCACTTGTACCCAAGCGAGCTGGTTCCCCAGCACTTGTTCGTGGAGCACTCAGATGATCTCGTGCAAGTGGCGCACTCAGGCTTCTTAGGGAAGCACTTCTCAATCGAAGTCATGGTATTGAAGACGCATTTGTACCCGAGAGTGCTGGTTCCCCGGCATATGCCACTTGAGCATTCGGAACTGCTCGTGCATGGTACGCACTCAGGTTTCTTCGGGAAGCATTTATCCATAGACTCCGAGTTTTCGTACACGCACTTGTACCCGAGCGTGCTGGTTCCCCAGCACTTGTGTGTGGAGCATTCAGACGAATTCGTACAAGTGGCGCACTCAGGCTTTTTCGGGAAGCACTTGTCAATCGAAGCCTGATTACTGAACACGCACTTGTACCCGAGGGCACTTGTTCCCCAACACTTGCCCGTCGAGCACTCAGAGGAGCTGGTGCAGAGTGCACACTCGGCTTTTCTCGTAGGCGGGAAACACTTTTCCCTCGACGCCGCGGTGTCGAAGACGCACTTGAGACCTGTCGATGTTGTGCCCCAGCACTTGCCTGTTGAGCACTCAGAGGAACTGGTGCAGACCTCGCATTCCGCTTTTCTAATCGGCGAAGCTGACGGAGTGGCAGCAGGCGGGAAGCACTTTGACCTTGATGCCGCGGTGTTGAAGACGCACTTGCGCCCACCCGAGCTAGTACCCCAGCACTTGCCGGTAGCGCATTCCGAAGACTTCCTGCAGACTTCACATTCCCCTTTTTCAGCAGCCGGCGTGGAAGAAGGTGTGGCAGCAGGCGGGAAGCACTTCGCCCTCGATGCCGCGGTGTTGAAGACGCACTTGCGCCCACTCGAGCTAGTACCCCAGCACTTGCCGGTAGCGCATTCCGAAGACTTCCTGCAGACTTCACATTCCCCTTTTTCAGCAGCCGGCGTGGAAGAAGGTGTGGCAGCAGGCGGGAAGCACTTCGCCCTCGATTCCGCGGTGTTGAAGACGCACTTGCGCCCACTCGAGCTAGTACCCCAGCACTTGCTGGTAGCGCATTCCGAAGACTTCCTGCAGACTTCACATTCCCCTTTTTCAGCAGCCGGCGTGGAAGAAGGTGTGGCAGCAGGGGGGAAGCACTTTGACCTTGATGCCGCGGTGTTGAAGACGCACTTGCGCCCACCCGAGCTCGTGCCCCAGCACTTTCCAGTAGCGCATTCAGAAGACTTCCTACAGACTTCACATTCCCCTTTTTCAGCAGCCGGTGTGGCAGAAGGTGTGGCAGCAGGCGGGAAGCACTTCGTCATCGACGCGGCGGTGTCGAAGACACACTTGAAACCTGTGGATGTTGTGCCCCAGCACTTGCCTGTTGAGCACTCAGAAGAACTGGCGCAAACGTCGCATTCCGCTTTTTTATTCGGCGAAGCAGAAGGTGCGGCAGCAGGTGGGAAGCACTTTGCCCTCGATGCGGGTGTATCAAAGACGCACCTGCGCGACGCCGAGGCGGCCCCCTCACACACGGCGGTAGCGCATTCGGAGGCGTCAGCACAGGTGTCGCACTCCCCCTTCTTCATCGCGAAGCACCTCCTGCGCGACGCGGTAGTCCCGAAGACGCACACGCCGGCCAGGCACATGCGCGAGCTGCACTCGTGATGCGCTGCGCACGGGGCGCACTCGGGGAGCGTGTACGTCGCGGCGGCGAGCGAGAGCAGCGCGAGGAGGGCGACGGGGGCTGTGGGCGGCGTCATGGCGGCGGGGAGCGGCGGCGGCGGCGGTGGGCGGAGGGCGCGGCGCCGCGGGCGCGACGCGGGGGGGTTTATAAGCGGCGCGGGGCGGGGAAGCGCGGGGCGGGAAGCGGCGGCGGGCGGAAGAGGGTTGGGGTCGCGGAGGTGCGGGAATGAATTGGGGGAATGAATTGAGGGGCGGTATGAGGCGGGAGCGGGACGAAGCGCCGTGGGGCGGTGTAAAGAGGGCGCGCGGCCCAATGGGGGCGCGCGGATCTGCGGGCGCGCCGTGTCGCGCGCACGGCGCGCGGAATTCAAGGCCGCGGGGAGCGGAATCGCCCGCGCGCGCTCGGCCGACTACGTTGTAGTCGGCATATTTACAACAGAGCTAAGACCACAACCAGGGAGAACCCGGTCGGCGTACAAGTTGTACAAGTAATGTAGTTGTAGTACCCAAGGGTACAACTTGTAAGGCGGACTCTCTAACACTCTAAATGTTACGTAAACTTTATCGCCGGAGGGACCCCTTCCCCTTCCCCGCATCCAGACGCCCCATCCAAACGCGCGTGTTGACAGCGCGGGCTGCGTGCGGGCCTTGCGTCAGATCCGTACCGCTGCGTGACAACGAATTTGCAAGGCGGGGAGATGATTACACCCGGCGCGCTCCGCTTCAACCGCCCCTGCGCCCTTTCAACTGCGCGCATCCCCTGCGCGCATTCCCTGCGCGCATTCCCTGTCAGGAGGGCCATACGTGCACACGTGGCACACGCATGACACCACCATCAGCTCACCTCACTCGCCGCCGGCCAACGCATGCCTCTAGAATAGACACTAGAGCCTCCCTGATAAGGTATACATGTACATACATATATGTTATATACGGTATAGGTGGACAAGTCCCAAGACAGGAACACTGTAAACGAGCGATCACTTCTTGCATCCTGCCCGAGGTTGTATCAGGGGCTTAGGAGGCCACTGCCACGCACGGATGGCAGAATGAATGAATGTTAACTGCGCCCACGGTCGCGGCGTCATGCGAGAAGGAGCTCCCACATTTCTTTTACTCACAGCATGTGCAGCACCGTTCACACTCGCCACTGCTTCTCCATGTCTTTCTGTACATCCCACTCTGTCGCACCATCTAAAATTCCGTTCACCTGCACCTTTCTTACCCTCACGCCGCAAGGACGACAACAACTCCTGTACTAACGCTACCTCTAGGCCTCTTTGTCTGCCGCCCGCGGCCGCGCCACGCATCTCTACAGCATCGTAAAACCCCATTCTCTCTCCAATTGAACCGTAGACGCCAGAATGACCCCGCGTCCTGCCCAAGAGAATCGCCATCGGCCAGTCTCCCCACACCCCTCATTCGCGCGCGCGCGCATCCCGCGCGATCAAACCGCCGCCTCCGCGCCGCCTCTACCGCGTGCGCCCCCCGTCAGTTGTCGTTAAGAATGAAATGAATCGACGCCTTGTCCTGCTTCCACCTCTTGACTCTCTGCTGCAGCGTGGACCTAGGGATGCCCCACACGCTCTCGGCCTCGCGGAGCGACAGCCGG